TGTTCACTTGGTTTAGGTGCCAGTTGATATGGTTGTAAGTGCTACAATGTCTGCTATTGCCAAACATGGATACTTGCAAAGTCCAGAGCTAAATGTGTATCATGTAGCATCATCATATGTGAATCCTTTATCATCATCACAACTTTTGAACTATAGCTATGAGTTTTTCTCTTCTTTTCCTTTTGTTAACTCAAAAGGAGATCAAGTGAAGGTTAATAAGATGAAATATTTTGATAACATGTTAGATTATTCAAATTATATTTCAAAGGAATTGCTCAAGCAACATGATGAAGGAGGAGAGTTAACTCATGAAGTTGAACATTCAAAGATGCAAATGCTTTTAAAAAGGAAGGTGGAATATTTGAAGAACTTTAGCAAGGTTTATGAACCATATGGATTTTACAAAGGATGGTATGATACTTTCTCCTTACTATTATATATTGTATTTATCAATTATATTCTAAGAAGGCAGTCTGGTGCATAAAGTATATTGCGTTCACATGGGGTTCAAGGGAGAGTTGCACCACAAGGAGTGTGATATAGATAACCTATCTTAAAACAAACATTAGTATAACGACTTCCATGACTCATCAATTTTTTAATCTATAGTTTAGATGGAGAAATTTTTTTTTATCTCAAGTACATTTACATATAATCTTATAAAATACTATGGGGGTGGGCAGGGGCAGATCCACATAGACACATCCGGGTGCTATATGTAGAAATTAAGACATATTTGTATAAAATTAACATAAAGCACCCAATGAACAAATGATTTGATTGGTTCAATGACTCATGGTGGGTGCTTAAGGTTGTTTTAGTATTGCTAAGTTTGAGTTCAAATCTCACTCTTAACACGTCTTTTTTATCAGCTAAGAAAGCACCCATAACTTTAACTGGAGGTGGGATGGTGTGGTGATCAGTAGGGGTTCGAAGTAGTGGGTTGGATGGTCAAGGGGTGGGGGTTGGAACATTCCCCGTCCAATGAACTTTTAATGTTACTTATAAAACTTATTTTTCCTACCTCACTCTGTTAAGAAGGTACACATATTTTACAAAAGATTAAACAAAGTAAATTTTCTTTTTCTATGGCTTATTGTTTTGCAAGGTTTCACAATGGCAACATGCAAAAACTAATGGAAGATGTCTGAAGAAGAAAGAAAAAGCTTTGATATTGATTTGTCAAAAATAAATTGGAGAGTTTACTTTATAGGAATTCATATTCCCGGAGTAAAAGAACATGTATTGAAAGGCAGGATAGCATCTTCCTAACACTCTGTTTGAATGGTTGTAATGTATTTTTCATAATATATCGTATCGTATTGTGTTGTGTTGTATTATATCATATTGTATTGTTTTAATGAATACATTATTTGGATAGATTGTATTGTTCTTCGTCGTTGCACGCCATAAAAGTAGGATATACACAAACATTACCCTACTTTATGAGGTAGGGAATCATTATCAATAGACTCTCAACTCAAAATGAAACTATCTGATGCGAGATTGTAAGAAAAGAGACAGCACAATAGCAAGAAATAAAACCATCTTCGTAACTATATTGAGAAGTATATAACAACAACAACAACATACCTAGTGTAATTCTACAAGTAAAGTAGAATGACGTACTTATACCTTAGCTCCATCTTTATAAGGTAAAAAATTTGTTTTCGATAGACGCTCGATTAAAAAAAAAGAGTATATCTCTATAACTATATTAGGATAAGTCTAATTCCTCAATTTGGCATAGTAAAGTTATTGTGTGTATTTATGTGAAAACAAATTACTAATAAAAAGTGATGGAGTATATGCTATAAAGTGATTTTTTTTTTTGTATAATAAGAGATATTATATGCTACTTAGTACTTACTAGTTCCATTACTGCTATTAATAAATCGCACTAAAAAAATGTGTTTTATGAATAAAATTCGATCTTTTTAACATCACTTCTTGCCTAGTCATATTAGAGAAGTATGTGAAGGCAGCCTGATTTTTTAACCATTAGATGTTCGTATTAACTTGCGGACACCATAATTATTTCGATTGTCAGATACTTACTATCTCCTATCAATATACGTGCTGGATAACTCTGTCGATCAATGATCTGTTAACTCTAGTCTTCAAGATTTGTGCTCACTTTATTGATCACTAAATGTTCACACCTTATAAGTTAATGTTCCCTTTTCTCGGTCGATTATATTATTAACCTCATTCTTGATGAAAAAAAATCATTTGTGTGAATGACCAAGTATCAGTGACCTCAACTTATGGTCGATTAAGGTTATTTTCTTAATTTCAAACTTACGAAAAGAAAAAATAAGGAAAATGAAGATAATTTTTTTAAAATTAATTGAAGTTTTACTATAGACAGATACACCAAATATTCTTTTAAAATTCTTGTAAGAACAAAAAACAAATCCTTACAATGTGATTACAAAATCAAAACATCGTTACTTATTGATCGTTACATAAAATTCTGTAGGAGTTAATGCGACCTAGCGCGTCTTAACTACTTGTTGAATTATTACCAGGATTCAAAGGGTTAACACCTTTATAATTCCCAATAGGATCATATGAGCATACAATATAAAGACCCTTTTGGTTCTTGCAATAAACATTGCCACTACATCCAACTTTTGTTGTAGTCTTCCATACAATATTTAAATAATGGCCACATTCACATCCTTCTATTTCTGGCTGGCATTTGCAAACATTCTTTACCTCATCAAAATTCTTCTTTTCATCGAACCATTTTTTTACAATACCAGTTGCTGGTGTCTCTACGTAAAGTTGCCAGAAGATGTTCTCTCCGTATGGCCCGGTCGAATGTTCCCTGTAAATAAATAAATTTTAAGGATGTCAAATCAGAGGCGTATTCAGGATTTCGGTTAGATGGGTGCACGATTATGAAAAAATGTATCTCTAATATAAATTTGATCGATTTGACTTTTAGTTCGTAATATGAATCATTAAAGTTTAAAAATTATAGGTCCAAAATATATAATACTACTAGTTTTAAATTTTAATATACACATTTGATTTAATTATATAAAAAATTTACAATGCTAAATTTTTTAGGAATTCTCAATGTAACACACTTCAAAATTTTGAAAGAATAAAGGAAAAAAACAAAAGAAAAATTAGTTGAAACGACAAAAGTGTAACTGATAACCACTTGGAAAAGTGTTACTCAAAGAGACAAAATAGATATAAGATTTAAATTTCTATCTCACTTAGAGAAGTGCACCCAATCATCATCGCATTTTTATATGATACTTTAAACATGGGTTCACACATCTATATTTAAATATTTAAAAAAAATACAACACTACTATATATGATCTAGAGAGGGGAGCATGGGTTCACGTGAACCCATGGCACCCCTCTAGATACGCCTCTGTGTCAAATGATCGAGTTAGACTAAATTACTCTCGAATCAATGAATGGTATGTCTAGAATTTGTTTTGGTCAAGGCTAGCTGATTTGCACAAACAGCCACTTTGCACCTTTTTTTTTATCAAACAAGACCAAAATTTAAATAGTGCCACTGGAAGATCATGATTTGCACAAATGGCCACTTTTTGCACCCTTTTTATCAATCAAGACCAAAATTTAAATAGTGCCACTCGAAGGTCATGTTTGTGCAAATCACCCTAAATTTAGCGACATAAAATGTCCAAATTGATCCAAGCCTTTCAAGGGGGTCTAACTAGAATCATTTCGTCATAATTGACTCGTCAATGAACGATTTGGTCAGGTCATATTTTCATAAGGCTATGTATCTTGAGCAACGATCTTTACCTGTAATTACAATCCTCCCTTCGTTGAGTTGCCCAATCATATGCGTAAGCGGCTAATTTCTCATCCCATTGCAAAGGAGGAACACCAACACTACTTCTTAGATCATTGTGAGCCTTGAGGTATTCTTTTTGAACCCAATCAAAGGTTGGTGGAGTTGCTTGTGAGAAAGTAATGAAGATTAATAAGATGGACAACACCAAAAAAGTTGGTGGTGTTAGTAATATTTTAGCCATTGACATTTGACAAAAAAAAGACTATTGACAAATACAATGGCAATGGAAATTAAGTAGCATTAATGTTGGCAATATTGGTTTTGGTTTAAATTTAAGGAGGAACAACGTAAGGAAAGAAGCAAAAGATGGTGGAGATGAGATATCGGTCAAGTGTTAACAACTTCTAAATCAATGGTGCAAAGTTATCATATGGAATGAATATATACACTCCATGTCTCAATTTACGTGGCGTTGTTCGGATTTCGAAAGTCAAATAAGTTTTTCTTTTGACAATAATTTTTTTTCATATGCTTTTAAATATTCTGAATTAAATAATGACTATGACTTAAATGCTTTTTGCGTAGTTTCAAATATTTAACTTTTATTTTAAGAAATTTAAGGATTTCATGTTCGTCTTATTTTTACCTCCAAGAGATAGTGATAAGGTTTCATACACTCTATCCTTCTCACACCTCATTTGTAGAATTTCATTTTATGTTATTGTTAAAAATTTCATATTCAAATTTACGTTCAAAATTAAAAAGTTTGACTCTCAAAATTCTAATGAGAATAATAACACATAAATTAGGACAAAAGTAGTAATACATACCACCCCTTCAATCTGTATAATGTGTGTACATTGTTTATTTTTAATTACTTGTGCATTTTGACAAATCAAGAAAAGATAATTTACTTTTACCTATTATACCCTCAATTAATCACTTTGAAAAAGATAAACTGGTAAACTCATTATGTCAATCATTGTTTTCTTAATATGTGTTGTCGATTCAAAAGTGGACAAGTAATTAGGAACAAAGAACATCTAATAAATACGATTTCATACCCAAGAAACTTGTACCTAAGAGGATTCAAGGGATAAAATGTTCAATAATAGAACGATTCCGTACCCAAGAGAGTCGAACCCGAGTGGATGTGTACAGTAGTAGGACTAAAATAAACATTAAGATACAATCTGAAGAGCAAAAGGTACAAAATTTATCTTCATCGTCGTCTTCGATCAAACAAACCCAATTCCTGGCAAAAAAAGCAACAAAAACGAAAAATCTCTACAGCGATGTGTCATCGATTGATGCCTAGGGTTCCTCCTCTTCTGCTTTCGTTTTTCTGTAGCTCGATTCTTCTCAGCTCGCTTCCAGGTAAATTTCATGAAATGAAATGAATCGAATTTCTGATTTTAGTGAACTAATCAATGGAAAATCATGTGATTTTTGTCTAATTTTTCCTTTTTTCTGCAGAATTGATTACAGCGGCGGTTGTAACACTAGATTCGATCGAGATATATAATACTCATGAGTTTCTCGGATTATCACCGGAAGTTTATTTTCAGTGTAAAGGTGAAAATAGAACAATATATTTGCCTGATGTGAAGAAGAAACATGAGTTGTATACCTTCAAGGGAGAAGAGTCTTGGCAGGTATGCAATTGTTTAATTTGAAAAAAAAATGTTTTGAATTTTTTTTCTCATTATCTGCCAAAAATACTCTTTTTTGTTCAATTGTGTCATTAACTACCTCAAATTAGTGTGGGTTGACTATATGAGTCCTTCGTTTGATAGCTGATTAGAGTTATGCATATATTAGTTACCATGTAATTGTATTAGTTATGTGGGTTTCTAAATTACAAACCAAACACCATATTAACTGTATACACGAATAATTTACCTCCTGACCAGCTAGCAAACGTGGTATAGCTTCATGTAGGATTTAATGCCTGCATAGCTGACCTCCAAACTAGCTACCAAATGACTCTTGTGATTTTAGAGGATTGATCGTAGTTTGACTATTTAGTATCAGATTGTTAAACCTAACAATTCTCCTCCTTTGTTTGGGGTTGAGACCGGCTATGCTGGACATAGAGTGACTGTTAATCTACTATGATAGAATTTATTTATGAAGTAGTAATAACTTTATTGATGTTCGAGCAAAATAACATGCTCGTATACAAGAAGTATACCAAAAAGTAGAAAACCTACTGAAAACACACATCAGGAAATAGTTAAGTAAAATGAACATAGTAGTAAAGAGAGAAGGTGTACTTTCTTTTCCTGTTTTACATTTTAAAAAAAATTCATAACCAAGAAATCCACTGTTTCTAGCAACTAGATGCAGCTGCACCGATATCCATTGCATTAGCTCTTGGAAGATACATTCATGACACTACCCACTTAGGAAGACGGTACTGATCCCAAAATCGAGGGAATACACACTTCCAAATTTTCTTACAGCTGCCTTCCAAGACGTTCCATTGAGCAAACTACCCTTAAAGTTAATGATTTCTTAACTACTATTGCAAATTTGTTGGTTCATCATATTTCCAACTATATCCTTCTCTTGAGGTTTTTCTATAATTTCAAAGAGTGGTGGAATATAACCAGATTTATCTTCTCAAGATTATGCCCTTTATTTGACATACCATTTGCCAATTAGTAAAGTTTGCTCATGCATAAATTCGTGTTGAGAAAAGGAAAAGCTAGAAAAAGAAAATTTCCTAATGAAGTCAGTAGAATGTGCTCTAGAAAATCTTCATTTTCTTCCATAAGGTCAACTCTGTCAATTGGGGAAGTGCGGAGCAAGGTTCTATTTAGATGTACAGTTTCAGAAAAAAAAAGGAAGTTCATCAATGTCTACCCAACAAGGTTTAGAAGTTATTTTAGTAGTAATGGCCCCTTTTAGTGGAGGTTACCCCCAGAGATATTTCTTCAAGATTATGTATTAGTTAATCTGGAAGGATGATGTGCAAGAAAGCAAGAGAGGTATACAGTCTGTTACACATTACCCCTCATTGAGGAGGAAAAGGTCTGTTGTAGAAGCAGGTTCCAATGTAGTCCCTCTCTCTCCCTCGGAAGAAATCATCCTTCATTTGATAACTTAGTATCCCACCTTTCAGTGGATTATGGTCATTTCTTCTTTCAAAATGCTTGATAACACTGATTTACATGGTCGGATGTAGTTGTCGGGAGCTCACTTTTTTTAAATTCTATTTACCTTTGGTGTTTTCCTTCAAGCTGTAGATGTTGGGATTAGGCTTAAAGGTTTTCATTATTATGTGATGTTAGGATTTCCAAGAAGCATAAGCTATAGTTACTAGTAGAAACGAAATAAGAGAGAGCAGGGGATGAAATATTGGTGTTGCATGATGTTAGGAAGCATATCAAAGGCATTTGCAGGACTGAGAAGAGAAGTGCTAGTTGACTGCGGACAATTGTTTGCACTTGGGAGATGAGTTGTCTGGGAGCTGACCTGTTGGAAATGGTATTGGTAGGTGATGTTGGGAGATGGAAGAGGGGTTTTGGGAGGTGGAATTTTTAGGTTTCAAGCTAGGAATAGCTGAGCATGAAGGCAATAACCATTACCAAAGCATAAAGTTCCAATTGTGCACGAAGGGAACTGTTTCCTCTCCCTCAACCCCAACCACGTGCACCCAAAAAATTAGAAATAAAAAGAGAGAAGGTAATGGAACTAAACAGGTGATCATGTAAAGATTGAGAGGACTTGCAACCAGTACTCACAGCAATGTATACGATCTTTCTTTTCATAATTTCCTTCCCAGTCTTTCTCCATGATACATAGGGATACTTAAAGTTTAATCAAGACAATCCTCAGTTGGTTACAAGCCTACTTCATATATGTGGCTGTCTGGCAGAGAAAACTCCTATTCTTAATAAACTATGGTGTTTGTTTGCTTTATGCATCAAGGGAAGAATTTAGACTATTATTGTTGTTACTTGGAATGTTTCTGATGCAGCTCGGAAGCTTGTCTATGTCTGTTATTTTAGAAGTTCACAAGTTTACTGATCTAATGTGTGTGGCCTATGGCATCTTCTTTTGGGAGCTGATGATGTTGCATGTTTATTTTTTTAGCCTCTGACAGAACTTGAAGAAAAGAAGTGCAAACGATGTGGGATATATGAGAAGGACTCATTTATAAAGCCTGATGATATATTTGATGAATGGGAGTTCTGTGCATCTGATTTTACTAGTCCTGATGGGAAGTATATTCATTTCAAGGAGAAAGAGTTCAATGCCACATTTTTGTGTCCAGACTGTGTCCCTCTTGAAGGTGGTGAGTATTCTATCTATGGCTGTCTCTTCTTCTTGGTTAGTGTGGTGTATTCTCTGTAACAACAGTGAACTTGAGGCTATTTGGAATTATTTTACTGCACATAAACTCATAAATACTCTGAAACCCCAACTCCCTCCCCCCTCCCCCCTCCCCCTCATAAATGCTGTAACATGCTTAAGGAAATTCATTTATGTTGTCTAAGATCTCTTTGACGCTGATCAACACAAGCGTCTAGCTAAATGTATCGCCAATCTTTGCCCCGGGGTTTTGATTTAGTGGTAAGGATGCAACACAAAATGTGTGGAAAGATACGTCTCTAGTTCAAACCCTGCCACTGACAAGAGGGCTGACATTCAAGTACCCCCTCTCCTCCCCGAGTTTTCGAACATGTGGGTCAGTTGGAGTTGGGCCATAACTCATAGCGGAATTTTAATCATCAAAAAAGTAAATAAAATTTATGCCAATTGAATTGATCAAAAGAAAAAGGTTTTGGTGGGTAAATCTTTGAGTTTCATTTTGACGTAGGATTTGGGCTCCTAATTGCCATTTGGCCCTGCAATCAAAAAGACAATGGTGCCACGCTACCTTCACTTAGGGGTGTCGACACAGACGTAAATAAATTTTTTGCCTGGTTCTATAATTGAAGTATTAAATAGGCCTGCTTCTCAAAAGAAACTGGATAAACGGAAGGTTGCACTTCTCTCGCAAGATATGTATGATGACGATTTGGATTTTCGGTCATCTTTGTTCTAAATGTTATTTCATTACGTCTCTTCTGACATCCTACTTCGGTGCTTAGGGAATCCATGATGGTTTTAGTTTGTCTAAATTAGGAACGATTCTACTGAGCTACAAAATTCACAAATTATTTAAACATCAACTTCTCTGTGCTACAAAATTCTTGTATTGATAGCATCTATCTAGACTATTCTTGGCATATGGATGCTTATCCATTTGTTCTGATTTTTGTAACTTATTGTCTGTGTTATTGCATGGTTTCTTTAGCTTCAAATCACACTGATGTCCCACGGAATAAGGAAAAGGGAATGCACTGGGCTCTAGTGCTGCTCATCTGTGTGTTAGTGACGACTTTTATAGTTCTTGGAGCAGTGACTGCCTACAAATATTGGCAAAAGAGAAAGAAACAACAAGAGCAAGCTCGATTCTTGAAGCTGTTCGAAGAGAGCGATGACATAGAGGACGAATTGGGCATTGGACCACTTAGTCATGTCATTTAGGTAGAAAAGAAAAAAAAAAAAAACATCCCCTTCTCATAGTATACCCTAAAACACTTGTACATTGCTGTTTGGTTTCAATCTTTTACTTGGAGGGAACTTTTGAGACAGTTGTATAGTGTAAACTTAACAGAGTGAAAATTTGTATAAATTCATTGTACTACAAGAGAAATGCTAAAACTCTAAACTGGTCCTTGCTCTTGTAAAAGAAAAGATATTCTGCTTCAAGTAGTTGAATGGACAGGTAGAAAAGTACCCTTCGGGGTAGCCCAGTGGTTGGGACTTGGAACTTCCATGTTGGAGGTCTCAAGTTCAAAACTCCTTGCCAGTAAAACCAAGTGGTTTGCCTTCTAGGTTGAGCTCGTCGCATCGGGCTTGCCTAGTGCGGGTTCTTAAAAAAAGTGAATCTACCTATGGGGGCTTTGGCTTGGTCTCTTAAAAGTGAATCTACCTATGGGGGCTTTGGCTTGGTCTTTATTGACAGGTAAATTAATAAGTATACATGATTGTCAAGTAATCTTCACATTACTCAAGGGTATGTTTGGTATGAAAGGAAAATGTTTTCTCGGAAAATAAGTATTTTTTTGCTTATTTTCTGGTCTTTGGTAAAGTAAGCAGGAAGTATTGTTGCAAAAGTATTTATAATAATCTACATATAGTATTGAGGGTGGGGGTTGGTGGGGTGGGGTGAGTTGTGGAGGGTGGGGAGGAGACAATCAGTGTAGATAAGTTACTATGAGCAAGTTACAAGTATATACATTGAATGAGTATTGGGATAATCACTATCCTAAACACTTCGATTAATTAGCTTACAAAATATGCACAAAATATATAGGTCGTATATACTATTACTAACTATACATATACACAACATATGCATTGTTAGTGTATATTTCGGCCATGTTGATAAACTAGCTAATCGAACTTTATATATCCATAACTTGCACATTTCTATATTCTATTTTTTGACCGAGGAGTTGTAGGAATTCTTAGGTCCAGAGTAGATGAACATCTACACTAAAGTAAACAAAATCCAGATTAATAAGAAAGGGATTTAGGTATAGATTAAAAATTTGATTTTTTTTAAAAAAAAAATTATTATAAGAACACATTCCTAAATAATAGTAGGAAATAGACAAAATTGATTTCGTAAAGTAATGAAGGCGTGTGCAAAAGAGATTAGGAATATATTGGTCACCATATTATAAGCCACTTGGAAGTGACTAATAATTCAATAAAAATTAGATGAATTATAGTTATTTGCAACTAAATAAAACACACAAGAAAGTAGCAGTGGCTACTATATGAATATAACACGCAACAAGTTAGCAAAGTGTATTATATTGTTTCTTTACTTTGTACAAATAGTCAAGTTTACATTATGTATCCAAACTTTACGTCATTATTATGTATCTTGAAATTCGAAATTTACTGACTGTAACTCAAATAATCAAAATTTCTATTGAGGTGATATATTAAGGAGTTTAAACGCTTTCTATTAATATGTTAATTTATTAAGGGGTAGAAAAACTCACTATCAACCGATTATCTTATGTAGATGGGCCCCAACCATATCTAGACATACCCTTTGATGATTAAGTTTCGCCAGAGAGATTTATTAAGGGGATGAAATGCTTCCTACTAAGATAATATTCATCTTTAGAGCTCGAACTTGACTATTAATTAAGGTTGAATGAGGCTTAACCATCTCGCTATGCCTTTGGTAATTCAGGATTAATTTTTGCAGAGGAAATTTGTTCAGGGGGTCAAACGTTTTCTATCAAAATATTACTTATTTTTAAAGCTCAAAGCCGATCATTAAGGATGAACGAGTTCCAATCATCTCAATTCTGGTGAAACCTTAAGTTAATAGACATGAACCTTTTGATATTTTAGTGATGTCCAATAAAGTTTTCCTTGTTGTAAATTACTTCTCAACAAACCAATTGATAGAAAAACCAAAGAGTTATGATATACTCTAATCACTTGAAAGGAATTTATTAGGTTAGAAGAATAAGTAGTTGATATTTTTTTCTAAAAGCACACAAGAAATGTCTCCCCATTAAATCTGGTTAGTTACAACTATGGCATCTGATGTTTTTTATAAAAAAAATTCTTTATTATTTTTTTATTTTTATAGAAAATCGACAAATAACCATTTTTCAGCCTCTTGTAATTTAAAAAAGAGGTTACTACTATGAACCTTTTAAATTACACGAGTGATATTCTAGAACATTATTTCTGAATTTTATCCGTAAAAATTGAAAGATATTGGCTATTCTTCATATCCTTCAAAATATTTGTCGCACCCAACATGATTTGGGTGTGGAAATGTGGAAGTATGATCCATATTGGATTTGGTCAATCCAACCCGGGTGTTTCAACTACATTTATGGCTAGGGTAAAGTCATAGTGGTGATTGTGACAAAACTCAAAAACTTTGGCTCAAACTTTATATTAGTGTTAAAAAAATATTTAATATGTAAAAAAAAAATCTATCTAGAACTTCGTAAGTAAAGAAAATTGTAATTAAAAACTCATAAACTTAAAATCTTAACTTCACCTGTGAACAAAAATAATAATATTGAAATGGTATTTGGTTTTGTTGAGATTTCATGTGGTAAATATATTAGGAACACTTGCTATTATATGAGATAACTTATGAAGAAAATATTATATATAATAATAGGAACACTTTATTAAATATTATATTATATTATATTTTATTATATATAAATAGAAACACTTTATTATTATATAAGAAATAGCTTATGAAAAATATATTATATATATAGGAACACTTTGCTATAATTAGAGATTACTTATGAACAAATATTAGGAACACTTACTATTATATGAGATAACTTATGAACAAAATATAACTAGCTTTGATTTAACAACTTCAATTAATCATCAAAATATATACTCACATACGTCGTAATATACATTTATTGATTGTATCTTACCCCTATATATCCCCAAATCCAAATTTAAGTAATAATAAATCCGACTTTTAGATCCGCACCCATATGAGATGCCTAGTAACATAGACCTAGTAGTTGATGATGTAAATTACGTATACACTTGTATACTTATTCAATGGAAGGCATCCAACTTGCCACCTACTGAACTTACTTTAGTATAATTTTCAAACCTCAACATTACACGAAAACATTAAAATTTTAACCTTATATTCTTGTACAAAGGCATCAAAAAAATATATTTACTTAGCTAGCCAAAATTCATAAAGAAAGTGACTCAACATGAAGAAAAACTTGTTGAAGAACTTTTCATACATTTGTCTTTCTATTTAGTGTGTTGTTTTAGACAAAACTAGTAAGAAATATACATCCATAAACACCAAACACCCTTCACTACCAAAAAAATCAACAACTACTGAATTTTGCTGTTTAGCTATAAAATTTGGTACGTAGTGCTAATTTGATCAAACATGTCTAGTCTTGGTGGAGGCGACGACATGTCTTCAGCTAGTGATCTTCCATTTTTAGGCCCAAGAAACAACATGGAACTTCAAGAATTTGGAAGAAAACCAAGGCACAATGTCTCTATCACACTAGGTGAGCTATTGAAACGCCTTGGCGACTCTGCTGAGGAAAAAAACCAAGTTCTTGAACTTGGGAATCACTCCAATTATACTACTACTACTCCTTCATCATTTCCCTTTGTTCTTTCCTTTCACAATCTAACCTATAGTGTTAAGGTCAAAAGTAAAATATCACTTCCTAGGTGGTTGAGGAGGGGCGATAAAGACGATGAGTTGTCATCCGATAATAACATGAAGGTGTTGTTGAATGACATATCAGGAGAAGCCAGAGAAGGTGAAATCATGGCTGTTCTTGGAGCTAGTGGATCGGGAAAATCAACGTTGATTGATGCCCTTGCTGATCGAATATCAAGGGAAAGTCTTAAAGGGAATGTTACTTTGAATGGTGAAGTTCTTGAATCAAAGCTTCTCAAGGTTATCTCAGCATATGTTATGCAAGATGATCTTTTGTTCCCAATGTTAACAGTTGAAGAAACACTCATGTTCTCAGCCGAGTTTCGTCTTCCAAGGACTTTATCTAAGTCCAAGAAGAATGCTAGAGTTCAAGCGTTGATCGATCAACTAGGCCTTACAAATGCTGCCAAGACAGTGATTGGTGATGAAGGCCATAGGGGAGTTTCTGGTGGCGAAAGAAGACGTGTTTCTATTGGTATCGACATAATTCATGACCCTATTGTCCTGTTTCTTGATGAACCAACTTCAGGACTTGATTCCACTAGTGCATATATGGTGGTAAAAGTCTTGCAAAGAATAGCACAAAGTGGAAGTATTGTGATCATGTCAATTCATCAACCAAGTTATAGAATTTTGAGTCTTTTGGACCGTTTAATCATCCTTTCGCGTGGACACACGGTCTTGACTAGCCCTCCTTCATGTCTACAACAATTTTTTTCTGATTTTGGGAACCCAATTCCTGAAAATGAAAACAGGATAGAGTTTGCTTTGGATTTCATCAGAGAACTCGAAGGAACTCCAAATGGAACCAAGACTTTGATGGAATTCAATAAAACATGGCAAAGGGAAAGAAACTCAACAACTAGCACCAGCAGCTTTTACAATGGACCAAAACCATCACTTAAAGATGCAATAAGTGCAAGTGTTTCAAGAGGGAAATTAGTCTCAGGAGCAACGAATATCGACCCAAATGTCTCTTCTTCAAACGTTCCAAAATTTGCTAATCCATTTTGGGTAGATATGGTTGTGATAGCCAAAAGATCAATGTTGAATTCCATGAGAATGCCTGAGCTATTTGGTATGCGTTTTGGCGCTGTCGTTGTCACTGGGATTATCCTAGCTACAATATTTTGGAAATTAGACAATTCTCCAAAAGGGGTTCAAGAAAGGTTAGGCTTTTTTGCCTTTGCAATGTCCACAACTTTTTACACTTGTGCTGAAGCCATTCCTGTTTTTCTTCAAGAAAGGTATATTTTCATGAGAGAGACTGCTCATAACGCTTATCGTCGTTCCTCTTATGTTGTTTCACATGCCATTATCTCACTTCCTTCCATATTAGTCCTCTCCATTGCCTTTGCTGTCACAACATATTGGTCAGTTGGACTAGCCGGTGGCGTTTCAGGTTTCCTTTACTTCTTGCTCTTCTTACTTGCCTCATTTTGGGCAGGGAGTTCATTTGTCACATTCCTCTCTGGTGTCATCTA